TTCTTACATTAAAAAAAAAAAAGCCCCAAAACCCTTGTTTGTGATCAATCATTTATATTATCTTGATAATTGAGGTTAGAACAGCTGCCAAGCAGCCCTCTGCTGCAGTATCTCTCTACCTCTATGACCTTGGGCAAATCGTTAAGCTTCTCTGGGCCTCAGTTTCCTTATCTGTAAAATGAAGGGATTATACTAGGTGATCTGCAATGTTCCTTCCAGTTCTGACATTCTATAAATCTGTGATCTATAAATAGGTCATCTTCTGCACTGATAGGGAAGGACATAATGACTCCCTCTCCAACTGTATGTATATGAGGTGCATTTCTTTTTGTTATATCAATCCATCAATCTATAAGCATGGTTTGTTGTTTTTGTTCAGTTGTTTCTCAGTTACATCTGACTCTTCGTGACCCTATTTGGGGTTTTCTTGGCAGAGATGCTAGAGCGCCATTTCCTTCTCCAGTTCATATTACAGATGAGGAAACTGAGGCAAACAAGGTTAAGTAACTTGCCCAGGGTCACACAGCTAAGAAATGTCTGAGGCCGGATTTGAACTCAGGAAGATGAGTCTTCCTGACCCCAGACCCAACACTCTGTTCAGTATGGCACCACCTACCTGCCCTTCAGCATTTCTTAGTACTACTCATCATATTGGGGCTAGGAGTGTAAAGCCAAAAGTGGAGTAACGCTTGTCCTCAAGGAGGTTTCAATCTAGTGAGAGAGGCAACAGGTACATAGATAATGTTAAAGAACCCCTGCTGAGCCCAAGGTGCTGGGTCATAGTAGTCATTCCCATTTCCCAAGGGCCCCATCTTCTTTGGTGCCACATATGCAGTCTGGCCTGAGCTGAGTCCCTTGAACACAGTGCTTTATCTCCTAACTGTGCCTTTTCACTGGCTGTCCCTCATGCTTAGAATTCTCTCCCTTCTCATCTTCACCTCTTATCCTCCCTGGCTTCCTTCAAGCCTCAGCCAAAATCCTGCCTTCTAAAAGAAGCTTCCCCAGTATGCCTTAATGCTATTGCCTTCCTAATAACATTACCTCTAATCTATCCTGTGTAGATGTTTTTGTACGTAACAGTCTGCACATTGTCTCTCCAACTAAATTGTGAGCTACTTGAGGGCTCTATTTGCCTTTCATTATATCCCCAGTGTTTAGCACAGTGCCTAGCATGTACTAGATGCTTAATAAATGCTTGTTGACTTGATTGACTGAAGGTACTCAGCAAACATATACTTGTGTGAACTGATAGGAAGCTGATGGCTGATGCCATAGGCTGAAGACACAATACAGGTTAAATTTTGTAAATTAGTTAATTCCTATGGGGAGCCCATAGCAATAGGGTCTTTTTCTATATTCTTATGTTCTCCATGGGGCAGAAAAGAAGAACAAAACTCTGAGAACACAAGACAGTATGGTATAGTGGAAAGAACATTGACTTTGGGGTTTAGAGACCTGAATTTGAAACCTGGCTCTCCTACTTATGGCCTGGGTGATGTTGGACAAATCATTTGCCCCCTCTGGGCCTCAGAATTCCTGTCTTCAAGATAAATGAGGAAGATTCAATGGTCTTGATTCCCAGTGGCCACTGATGGACAAGTAAGGCACCATTTCCCCACTCCACTGGTCCTTCTTCCAGCCCAGTGCCCTCAGCCACCACCTCGAGAAGCCGCCCCTGGGAAGATGCAGCCTGGCAACTGCTTCTGCAGGTGCTACAGCCCAGCTACTGAAGACCCAGGAAAGAAAGTTCTTGGTATCAAAGTCATTGATGCTGTTAAATGGCTCAAAATCAGAAACAGATATAGAAATGACATTAAAAAAAGCAAACAAAACCATTGCCTTCTACTTTGCTGCTGCCTCTAAGGATCGTGGACTTTTCCATCTGACTTGGAGCTAAAACCTTCCCTATGTGTTATCTCTCCCCTTAGAAAGTGAGCTTCTTGAGAGCAGGGGATGCCTTACTTTTCTATTTCCAGGCCTTAGCATTGCACACAGAAAATGCTTAATAAATGCTTTTTCATCCATACATACATTCACTCACTTTTAAATTCTCCTCCTACTATAAGTAAGCTATGAATCCCAGAAATCTGGATCTTGAATTCACTGTGGAATAAACCTATACTCTGTTCTAGTCTAAAGAATAGCTTCTATTTTTGTCCACAGACTTCTGCAATTAAATAAGGTCCTTCTTTTACTCGAATTGCACATCTTGCACATCTATCTCCCCAACTGGAGGAACAATTCCAAATCCCCCATGAGATAGGTCACATGGTGGCAACCATGGGAAGTAAGCTACTGGTTTAATAGAGAATGTCTGAGAATAGGATTTGGATTTCTAGGACACAGCTGAAAAATATAGGAATGATAACATTCCTGGCCAGGGATGTGGTGTACCTAACAAAGGGTCATAAGCAGGTGTTTGTCTGGAGTAT